CTAATGCTTTATCCTGCTTTCCCTGCCTCCTTTTTCAAACGTCAGGATCTGAGCCGGCATGGATAAAGACAGCTAGGACTGATTTAAAGCACTTTGTGGATATAAATAATCTGGGATTCACATGGAAAATAATAGAATATTGTGTGCTTTTTCCAGATGTTTGTTATTTGCATAGTTGCTTATAAATAAACACATTCTCAGAAAATAGTTTTTATATATTAAAAAAAGTATAAAGCTGACTATTAGCTTCTACATTATTAACCTGGCACATTTTTTTTAGGTTGGTGACACAATATTGGACAATGCAAAACACAGATTTGCCTCCACAAACCCTCAGAAGGGCAAGATTTATTTACAAAAATAAACCTGTACATGAAATGATTTAAAGTGTTTTTATAATGTTTATTTTTGTTGTTGTTGGCATTCATATAAATAAACTGGTGTGATTACTTAGTATATGTTTGATTTTTTGGTATAAACTCCACCAGCCGTCACTGCTGAAATGAATAATTAGAAATGAATGTCCCACAATTGCTTTAGCTCTCCCTGTAAACTGGTTCCCCTACACAACAAGCAAAGGCGCCTGCAGCTGCAAGGGCACCAGTTTGCCATTTCCCCACACAGAAACATGATAATAGTGATTTAAACCAGGGATGCCACGCTTTTTCCACAGGGATGGTTTTGGATTGACAATTTTCAGTCGGTCATTCTCAAATTTGGCAAGGAACTGGCAAGAAATCAGCTGTAAAAAGTCAATTTTTAAAGTTTGCCACGATCATGTGCTACAGGGGCACCATCCTGTAGGAGAAGCATGATGGTGGCAGCATCATTCTGTGGCGATGGTTTTCTTATGTTTAGGTAGGCAAGAAGGGACACTTTCAGAATCAGGTAGAGTTTTACATGTATTGAATTTGTTTTGGTAATGGCTTGTTTAAGTTTCAAGTTGTTTCTGGAAGCAGGCAGATCTGACAACCCTGAGCTGAGCACTGTAGGTCTTCACATGGTCCAGAAGGGCTTCATGTTGTGTAGAGTTTTGAATAACTTAGAATGTGACCCTTTGTCTCAATCAAATATAATTATGATGACTGTAAATATTCTTGGTAATTTGTCAAATCAATGCAGTTACAACATGGCTTTTAATTGACTGTAATTTGCAGTGATAATCTGTGCATATGTGTTGTAGTAATTACAACATCACATATGTTGATTAGAGCTTATGGTCACTGTGATTTTTTCCTGTACCTAACACGGATACTGGGATGTTTTCAAAATGATTCCACCCTTGATTTCAGTAAATTCTTGCATTTTCATAGAAAGTGTGCCCCAGTGTGGTGAACACTCACAGTAGAAATGCAACAAATTTTGCATTCCTTTTGATTTCTCTTTGCAGGTGATGAAGCAGACTGAAGATGTTTTATCGTTATCTCCCTTTTATCTCCTCTTTCTTTCGTCTTTTCTCCTTTTTTTCTGTTTTTCCTTTCCTATTCTACTTATATTGCAGTGTCCTAACAATCAGTAATACTCCCTGCATAATTATAATAAAGCTATTTATATGCATTAATTAAGCGGAACACTGTGGCGATAGCCGTACTGCTCCACTTGTGAAAGTGAAATCTGTTGGGCTCTTTTTGGCATGAAGACAATTATTCTTATCGCCACATTGCCAGACAGGACACTGTAAAAAAATAAAAAAATAAAATAAAATAAAATGCAACAAATAGCTTGGGGCTTTACAAAAAGAAACGTTGTAGTGAAAAATGTCTATCTGTGTTGTTCTCTGGACGGAACCGGAAGGAGGCATCTGTCCATCACAGAGCAAACACAGACATGTTCAAGTTGAAAAACTCACCAATAAAAAGGGAATTTCAGGAGACCAGTTATGGTAACATATATATTTGTGTGAGAGTAGCTAGAAGGCACATGCAATCTCTACGCATATGGACCTTGGCCAGGATTTGAACCCAAGACCTTCTTGCTGCAAGGTAAAGGTGCTTCCAACTGCTCCAATGTGCAGCCTGGGCATCTTATTTCCATCCATTTGATTTCATCCATCAGCCCAGCCCTTGAACCGTTCAGGCTCATTAAGTACACAGGGTTCTGCAAAAAACAATGAGCCAGATGGGACCAGATCACATTTGATCAATCCAATCTCCCCTTGAACCTTTATCTCTGGAAAAGGCATTGTGTCTCAGAAGGCTTTACATGTTCTTGTAAACCTCACTATAGTTATATTTTATGTCAGATTCTGCTTTTATGTTCCTTCTTTATGATTACAGGGCAGAAACTAATGCTGCGACATGTTCATTTTGGTTGCAAACCTTCTGGATTTTGTTATATTTCTAGTTTGGTAGGAAATCATCATTTAAAAATGCAGCAACCTGCAGGCATATTCAAATATAGTCGCCTGAAGTGTCTATGAGAATCATACCCTCATCAACATCCATGATCTCATCCAAACAACCTTTCATTATTCTCCTACTCGAACCACAGTGTTCAAGCAAAAAGGACTTTTTCTGAGAAAACACCCCTTTCCTTCGTGGACCCCAGTAGAGTGCAGCACTAAATTAGACCTTGACGACCATGTCCAATCATAGGCGGAAATCTCTGACCTTTACATCCTTCCTTGCAAAATACCAGTGCACTTCACGTACTTCCACCACACTTTGGGGAACAAATAACCGCCGCCTTTTTATAAAATCAGAGCTAGCCAGTCTTGAAAAGGGGTTATTAGAGCTGATGGTCTGTATTTGCTCTATAAGAGCAAACATGCTGCCTTTTTTTATGACTAAGTTTGAGATATGATGCATAATACTGACTCTCTGTCTGTCACTGTCAGAGGTGTCAATTAACACATTTTGGCTATCTATTCTTATTTCATAGACATCTTTTTACTTTTTTCTCCTTACATTTTAAAAATATGCTTGTTAATTTTGTTTAATTTAAACTAATTTTAATTATTGCCTGTTTGTATTAAAAAAAAAAATGAAAAAACATCAAAATAACTAGTTTCATCCAGACAACAAATTTCTTTGGGGTTTGGACTCGGTGCTGCCCCAACGTGTTGTTCACCACATACCAAAATAAATCGTTTTTAAGATGATGTAAAGTTAAATCTAACACTGTTAGCATTAGTTATAAAACTAAAAACTAAAAAAGTCTAAAGAAGTTATAATCCTGAATTGTAGAAAAATGTTCCTTCAAAAGGGTAATGCTGTAACCTGTAGGAGGTTTAAAGCATCTGTACGTATTTTTCCTGCATTCATTTTACTTTATTACATTAAGTAGTTATCAAAATTATAGTTTTACACTTTTACTGCATTAAAAAGCTTTGGTCGGTACTCTAACTTCTAGAAAAGTGTTTTGAAACAGTAGAATTTCTACTTCAGTAATAAAAATAATACTTTTCACCTGTGGTTACTGTGTTTTACAGTAGAAAAGGATGATTTACTACAATTTTGAGCTGTTTTTCTAAATAAAAAGCAACACACAGCATCTAATTTTGGCATTTCTATGTTCAACTATAGGGAATAAACACAGCCTATGCTGTTTTAAAACACTGTACATCTCTTTTCCTGTACCACTAAACCAGTGAAATATTACATAGAAATCTGAATTTTATACAATACTTCAGTTGGTCTGAGCTCAATCAAATTTGTTGCAGGAAAAAGAACAAGAAGCACATGTTGAAAACAGTCAAAGAGTTGCAAACTTTTGCAACAGCACAACTCCCCTGTATTTTACAAAAGCTACGAAAACCCACATCAGGTCTGTCAAATAACATTTATAAAGAGGCCAAGATGATAAAGGAGTGAGAACCCAGAGAGGAACCAGTGATTCCACTGACACAGTCAATCTTTCCACTGTCACCACATGTCTGCTCAGGAGGAGAGATGGTTGAAAAGGGAATGATCCAAAGCAATCACCTTTGCTTTCTTAGATGCATAACTCTACACCAACTGGCTTGATAATGCACTGCTGTTAAAACTGATCAAACCGGACATTCATGTTATAAGATTGAAACCTCTTTATACAATTATATTGGACTTGGCTGAGCACATTATACAGCTTCATATAATTAGATATTAATCAAAACTCTTACTTTATTTAGTGTCTTACACTGAGCTTGTTACTAGTGCTCTAATTTAGATACTGGTACGCATTATTAAAGTATGACAAAGAAAATACATTAAAAAAAAAGGATTTATTTTATTGTACACAAAAATGTGCCATGATTTAGACAAAAAACTGAGTTAAAGGGAAATTAATATCATAGCAAAAGAGAGGGAGAAGTAATTGCTTCTATTGCACGCACATTAACCTGCAGTACATATCTGTTAATTGGCCCCTTCACTCATTTCATAACCACACAAATGCAATTTCCTCTCTTTGTACTTGGAAAAAAAAACTGCACATACATGCTCAACCATTGTTTATTATTTATTTATTTTTTCATTATGAAGTATTTTTTATCATAACATGCACTTACAGCCTTTTTTTGCTTCTGTTCCTTTAGGGGTCAAGGTGACTCTCTTGGTTATGAACCCCAATCAAGCCCTAATAACTTCTACTGGCAGATACTAGGATCCACATTTTACCGCAGTAAACGACAAGTAGATAATGAAAATGTACTTATCGGTTGTCAGGGCTGGTAAAAAAAACCTTCACATGGTTAGAATAAAGTAGAGCATGCCTAAAAGACGACATCGTATCAGGACTCTGAAAACTACAGCAGCATCTGCTCTATTCATCATGTTAAAGACAACATGCCTGAAAAAACATTTTTTTTAAAGTACTGAAAAATATGTTGCTTTTAATGACAGTGAGCTCCAGTCCTGCATCAAATTTAGGGTAAATTCAAACTCTAGACTGTGAATCCAAGCTGAAAACTACAAGATAAGTTTTCTAGTGGTATATTTTGTATCAAAGGTCAAAGGTCACACTACTTCTCCTTCTACTCCTGAAGAACAACCCTCCTCCTCCTGCAGGATGAGCTTACCTGTGTGAGATTGTGGCCGCCTGTCTGGGGGGGTCCTTGCAGATTCCTCAGCTTATGTTTCCTTGCCTCAGTGTCAGGGTGGTTTCTGTGGCTACGTGGAGGATGGAGGCAGCTGCTCTTATATAGACCCACCCCTTCAACCTCCTCCTCTCCTTCTCCCTCGTTCCCTCCATTCTGAACTCTCTATTTCATTAGGGAGAGAGGACCAAGATAGAGAGAGGAAGGGTGGAGTTAAGGGGGGGGGGCAATGAGTGATGGTGGAGGTGGGAGGGAGAGAGGGAGCGTGCAAGGAGGAGTGAAAGTCAGGATGATGACAAAATATCGAAGAAATAAAGGTGTAGGGAAAGAAAAGGTTTGATAAAAGTGAAAAAGCATGAGGGGGCGAAGAATGTGCATGAAGGATAGAATCTAATAATACTTTTATTATACCCAAAAGGAACTTTATAACCTACATATCAACCAACAGTATGTGTCAACATGGCAAAAACTATATAAGATCGAGTAAAAATTTCTTAAATTAGTGTATTTACCCTTAATTTGAGTAGGATAATCTACCAATGGAATTAGTGTTTCTACTCTTAAAATGAGATTAGATAATATAAGAAATTAGATAAGTTAGATAATAATAGAAATTAGACAATAGTAATAAGATAATAAATAGTGTTGCACCAATACCAATACCAGTATCGGCCGGGGCCCCTATCCAGCACTAAAATGGTGATATCGGTATCAGCGAGTACCAAAAAATAGGTCACTGATACCAAAAAGTTATTCAACCATTGTCACCCATTCCACTTAGACAATAAAAAGTGCCAGTGGATGAACTTTGTATTAGTCTTTTTCCTGCTTCACAAAGGTAGGCAGCACCTTGACAAAGCCATGACGGCAATTATTTGACATCCAAGTAATACGAAGTTCTTCATATAAACACACACATCAATTTCAGATTGTATCAGTATCGGCCAATACTGCACAGCCAGGTATCAGGTATCAGTATCAGGGCCAAAACATGGCATCAGCGCAACACTAATAATAAGCTATTGTTTTTTTCTTACTTTAAATGTACATGTTTTTCCATTATCAAAGGGTCTCGCTTACCTGCTTACTTCAAGAAGAAATTCACATATTTAAAGAAACCGACTTAATTAGATTTACATTTTTTGCAGTGAAGATGAATCCTGTCACGTCTTGGTTGAGGTTTGGAGGACCCAAATGCAGAGGCAGAGAGGCTGAGGTGAATACTTGTAGTTTTAATGAAAATGGTTAACAAAGGCAGTCCAAAAATCCAACTAAAAAAAGTAACAGACCAGAACCATGGAGACATCAAGGGAAAACAAGTACAAGGAGCCAGGGAGAGACGAGGGGAGACGACAACAGCGAAGACAGGACCAGGAACAACAAGGAACCAATAAAGAGTGAGAGCAGAGTGAGAGCATATATAGCAGACAAAGGGAGGGCTAACGAGCTGACAAGGAGCAGGTGTGAGAGGAGACAACGAGGGAGCCAAGGGGAAAGGAAAACACACACACACACACACACACACACAAGAGGGCAACAGAGGACAACAGAAAAACATGAGAACTAACATAAATCTAGAAATTACAACAAAATAGGAATTAAACCAGTAAAACTAGGGAACATAGAGCAAAGTAAAGCACAATATAACCAAAACCATGACAAAATCCATCTCAGTAATATAGTCAAGATATAATGCTGTGAAAACTGTTTACACTGTTCCAGGTCAGAATCTTCTGATTGAACATTTGGTCACACTTAGATGTTTAAAGGTCATCAAAATGTGACTAATTTAAAGATACAGTTTTCAAGTGATGAGTTTATCTATTGCAGGTAAAACCATTTAAAACCTTGATGGAGGCTTTCTGGTTGAAAATGCTGCCAGTAAGTATTTGGCAGTCTTTTTACTCTTCTCTGCAGAATTGTTTTCATTTAGCTACAATTAAAGGTCTTTAAGCAGAAATGCTGGGTTTAATGTAACCAAGCAGATTCAGACTTTGCAGCTGATCTAAAACCTTCAAGTTTTATTTTTTTTAAAGCCTTATAGAGGTGGACTTTTTGGTTTTCTTTGAATCCCTGTCTGGCTGGATAGCCAAAGCGCTCCTTGCCTGATATTCCTCTTTGTAATACTGTGAAGGACCGGAACTCATGGTTGCATTAATTAAAGCAACTCTACTTCAGAAAAGCAACACCCCACCATCACATTACCACCATTGTGTCAGAATGATGATCTTTTCATAAAAATCAGACTTTTCCATATTTGAAAAGCTTTACGGGATTAATGTTATATGTCTGTTATTTATACAGGACACAGGTTTTTTTAAGCATGTGTGATTAAGTCAAACCTCCATGTGTGTTATCTAGGGTGATTAGATGTCCAATGAGTGCTAGATTTTCCACTTCTGTCCTACTGTCCCACAAAGTGAAACAATGTCTTGCATTTGACTGGGTCAAATTAGGAAAAGAGTCGAACATTATAGTCTCAGGCGATACAGTGAATGCAAAGAAAAAGCAGAGCATCATTGTCCCACATCATGACCAACCAGAACATGAGGGTCTTAAATAAAACAGAAAAATTTTGATCCCAAATATGATGGAAACTATTTTTAAAGAAAAGAAAACACAGCCACCAGAAAGACTGTGGAACACTTTATAACTGGATGAGACAGGTGATCCATAGAGAGCTTATTGTGAAGTTTCCCACAGTTATTTTTCAATATGATGTGAGGGGAGCATGATGTAAAGCCACACTGGAAAAGTGAGCAAAGGATGCACAGCTGGAAAAGCCACGTCTGTCCTGCATTGTCCCTCATAAGCTTTTTAGTAATCCCACATTTATTTTTTCAACCTCTTAATATCCACCTCATTTCTGGGAAATTCGCCTATTTTGCATACCCAAATGGAAAAGCAAATAACTTAGGAACTGTAAGCCCAAATTACATGTGTGATACCTTATTTAAAAGATAACACCTTCTAGTTTCTGAATATATACATTAAAACTGGGTGAGTAAAACACGCAAGCTGCATCACTTCAAACATTATTCAAAGTTGTTTTTTTATTCTCAAAAATAAGTCTTTTTTGAACTGCAGCAATAAAGAAACGCTTGTTTGTTGTGGCTGCTTTGTCATGCTACATTTCAACATGCTGCTATAATTGTGCAATGGTCCTCGCTGTTTCCATAAAATAAACAAGGTGGTTGAATTGTGGAGAATCTAAGCTTTCCAACGATGTCTAACATGTCTATATTGGTAAACATTTTACCGGTGGAATTTTCATGCCTTCTGAGTTATTATTTTAAACGCTTTAAAACGTTTTTAGAGGTAAAGATTGGGTCAACCTGTCACTTTGCTCATTCTTTGGGTTTTTAAGATCAGCTAAATTGAGCTAATGTTTACAACTGAAAGCAGATTTTCTTCAAAATGATTCCTCCATGTTCAGCAAATTGTTGCAAAAACACCTGACGTACAACACAGGGCATCTTTAGTTTTATTTGACCTCCTGCTTCTCCCAACTCTGCACTCTGTTCTGAGGATTTCCCAGATTACAAGAAGGCCATTTTGGAACCACTTTACTATCAACATGGCACCACAGCATCTGAAGAGAAATATGAATTCACATTGTGGATTAACCAATCTCACTTCAACCATCACCACAACCATCACCAAGACTTCTATAATGCGGTTTTACTGGCTTTGTTTATCAACAGGGTAGCGACAGTGACTGCTGCTGCGTAACGTCAACACTTGTATCTTAAACTGCCAGATTGGGAAACATCCCAACCTGACAACATAACACGGAAAACGTTAGCCTTTAGATGCAAAACCCCATCATGCACCGCAAAAATGTTTTGCAAAATATTCGAACATAAATTCGCCAAATATAAGAGGAGCATCGTAATTTGGTTTAAAGAAAGCATTTTAGTTTTATTATAACTTAGTTTGTTGCAAGGATTTTACAGTTTAAAGAAATAGAAAATTACACCATATGCCACCAATCACAATGATGTGCATGACAAGGAAGGGCTATATATACTGCATGCATCCTTTAGGTGGTTAACATCATTGAGCTCTTTGAGTTATTTACTGTCTCAGGTAAGTTCTGCGGCCGGTGAGCAAGTGTTGGGGCTGGTATGATTTAAGGAGGGCCGGGCCACGCACGCTGAAATTAGGACCGGCCCACTGGGCAAATGCCCGGTATCACAGATTACCAGTCTGAGCCTGATCATAACCATGATATAAACTCACCAGCTTCCTCCTACTTTGGTCCTCTTTCCTCCCTAAATAAGCATCTGCAACAGAAAATGAAAAATAATCAACTGATTGCAAGAGCGTTTTGGAAAATAACACTTCTTCCTTACTCAAGCTACAGTAGAGTCCTGTGTCCAACCTGTCAGAAAACTCCGCTGACACCCAATAATGTTCTGACACATTTAAGTGTGACAAAAAAGCACAGAAATGAAGAAATGTGTAGAAAGGGGAGGGACACTTTTTTTAATGCACTGTACTATTACTGCCTTTAATTACATGCTATTCAGTTTTAGTGATGTTTATGAGGGGAGGCTGGAGGACAACCAACTGTCACTCCTACACCAATTTGTGGGAGTGACAGTAAGATGTCCTCCAACCTCTATTCAAGAAGTGGCAGGACTGTATTACTGTCACTCTGCTCACAAGCAAAACTCTGCTGGAGACAAAAGCATCACGACAAGCATCAATTCAAGAGTTTCTTATTGTGTGTCCTTCGGGACTTCATTATCCGGAGCACGCTGCCTGCTTCTCCCTGATTAAAGTTACTGTATCCACGAGTCTGTTCGAAACAAGGGGAAATAAAGCGAAGCACACAAGTTTTTTGAGCCAAACAGAAATGTTGGAGTGAGATTATCTGGGTTCTAATGCATTTCTATATCAAAATTATAAATGTTTCTGACCTAATTTTGTAAGTTTTTCTTTTTAGAGCTCACAGTAACTATGGGACGTGTAAAAGAAATATAGAGACATATGGAGGAAGTAACAAAAGCAAATGGGTGGGAGAATGAAACACATTGTTTCAAATGTTATATACCATTACCTGACAGGAAGTAACAGGAGAAGATCTTTGCTAAACATCAGATCTTATCATTTAAAAGTTATTC